CTCAAACCCCATTGTGTCTAAGTATTGTCACACATGAGATAAAAACCAATCAGTTTGGGGATGCCTTTCCTGCCAAATTGCAGGGATCAATACAAGGACTTGCCATTTATATGGGGAGAGCTTCAGTGTGCTCCTCCTTGCTCCTGCAGGGCCAGTGTTTCTGGAGGCTGAGGAGCGATGTGCCTGGAGAAATTGGTCAGAGTTTTTTGGAAATCCAGCGGCTAAAGTGGTCACTGTGCTGTGGGAGGTGGTGTGTGTGCCTGTGAGGGGTGTGGACATGAGGTGTCTGTGGCAGTGAATCCTCTTGTTACCTGCACAGCACTGGCCAAGGTCATCATCACGGTGTCCTAAAGGACTCATTTGTGATAGCAAAGCAGAAAACACAGCATAATGGTATCTGATCTATTCATTAAGATATTAATGAGTAATACCCTATAAGAGGCTGTGCAGACTTTGATATCAGGGATGTAACACCCAGCTTGGGGAAATGGAGATCCCAGGAGAAGTTATCCCTAATTAGGAGAAATTATGGGTGCTCTCAGGATGCTGGAAARCATCTTGCTGGGATCCAGCCCTCAGCACTCAGGGCACACAGGGCAGCTTGAAGGGAGCAGGGCTGGGCAACCTGTGCCAAGGGGCTTCTGGCCAACCTGTGTGTGAGTCCAGGCCAGCTCCAGCCCTGTCACACGGGCTCTGTGCTCATCAGCTGGCAGAGCACATCAGGTGCCCTCCAAGACCACAGCTCCTGATTTAGCTTCATCTGCAGTGATTCCATATTGCATCTCCTAAGGCAGCTTTATAATCAGAGCGCTCATGTGTGGGGCCATCAGGAGATTCCTTCTGGGCCCTCACTCCTKACCTGAAGTGCTGATGTAGTTACGTGCAGAACAGTGTTACTGTTCCAGCTTTGATCCAAGAAAATTGCTGGTGTTTGACTCTAATATGAGTGGGYTTATTTTTCTTTATTTTTTTCCCTGCAGAATCTCAGGGGAAAAGCAACCCAATCTTTAAGGATTACCTCCCTGGTACCTGTGACAGTCCTGAACAGAATATGCCTATTGAACCAACAAGCATCTGGAAACAAACATCCTACACTCACGACTTGCCCCCTGGTCTGGAGTACCTGAACCAGGTCCTAAATCTTTCTGAATGTTAGAATTGTTATGTTTTCATTGTATGTTGTTTTGATACCTGGCTGGATGTTGTTTTGATACCTGGAAGATGAGGCTGTTTGGGCTTTTCCCCTGGGGGGAGTGATAGGTTAAGATGGAGAGGCTATTTTGTTGGTTGATGTGACTGTGGAATAAGGAACGTAGGAGAAACAGGCTTTTTCTTCATTGCTGCCATTCGTTTTATAGGCATTAGATGGGCATAAGTCTGAGTGGCTACAAACTTGCATGAACTCTGTGTGGGGASGAAAGTGCTAATGCCTGAGAGAGGAAAATGCTTGGAAACGGAAGCAGACAGGTCATAGGTGGGGAAGAAAAATGAATGCTTAAGTCTTCCCCATCCTCAGCTAAAGTGGCAGTCTCTTTTGCTCTGTGAAACCTCTGATGGTCTGTGGCTCTGCTCCAGCAGCTTCTTCTCTTCCTGAGCCTTCTTACCAGGAGAGTCACTCCCTGCTGTTGCTTGGACACTGACTGAGGTTTCCATTTCACATGTGGCTGGATTCTGCCACTCTTACATTCTGAGTGTCACACACCCTCCCTGGTAAAAGCAGGGACAGAATCAGGCCCCCAGCACAGTCAGGTCATGATTCTGATAATGTCTCCGCTGTGTCTGCGTTTTGGTGATGCTTCACTCAAGATGTGTATTTTAGGCACACATTTCTGGTAGTTTCGTATAGAAGCAGAAATGGAATGTATTTTCTATTTGGAGCTAAGTTACCTAGATAGCTAATGAAATGGGGAGACTGCTCAGAAACAGTCTCTCAATGTGGACTGATGACTTTCATTTCAAGATGCCTGAACACAAAATGATATGTGTTGTCAATTATACGAGCATTTGCTTACAGACCGTGGAAGCCACATATTTTAGACTAAAAGTGATTGTGATAGTAAGCACTTGGCAGGTTACATATTCAGGCTCCTGTACGAACATGAATTGCACCTCAGTTTTACCCAGACGATGCAGGCAAGCAAATACCATCAYTCCATTTTATGGCAGCTTTGCATCTGACGTTAAGACAAAAGAGAAAGTCGCTCTCACAGCTACAACTGGAACTGAAGACCTCATTCATGCTTGTTCTTGGCCTGTGCTGCAGCCCTTGCTAATTATTGTCAATTTTCTCTGCAGTCTGGAAAGTGGGAAGCATGTGTGCGGTGCTGATTGTTGGAATGTACCCGCAGCTCGAGTTTCTGTGCGCTGCAGAGCGTTTTGGTGTGTGATGCTGAAGCCTTCTGGCTGTGTGACTGATGAAACAGGCTCACACRGGGAGGATGGGGGCATAAAGGAGATCCCACCAGCAGGGAGAGGGCTGCTGCAGAATGCGTGTGGGATTCACAGCTGCTAGGGWAATCCCTAGGGATTTATCCTCATGGACTAACAGATTTTCATGTAATTAAATGCTCGAATGAAGATGTTTCTAGCAGGGCTTGGATTTTTTTTTTTTTATGTGACTGGGAAGACTTCCAGAAGACTGTGTGTCATTCTGGTGCTGTGTGTATTGGGGAAAGGTGGGTCCAAACTGGAACAGAAACAGAGAGGTGCTGCTGGAAGGGTGTGAGGAATAGAGAACCTCCTTTAAAACAAGACTATATCTGTTTCAGCTGTAGAGTAAAAACAGTACTGTCACAGAGGGAACCATGACTGAGACTGTCTCGGAGAGTAAACAAAGGGAAAGATATTTAATTTATAGAATTACATTACTGGAAGAAAGATTATATAGAGAGTGGTTGTGAATAAATACAGAATAAAAAATACAAATTACATTCTGGGATTATCTTCAGCAGGAGTGGGAAAAATAACTGGATTTGAGAAAACTGAATATATTTCTCAATAAAACCATGATATGTTTGACTCTGAAACAAGGATCCAAATTTAGTCAATCTCAGATCATTACAGTCTTTTTCTAAATAGCAACCCAAGGATTGGATGAGAGGAAAGGAAAATATGTGTCCTCTAGGTAAGGCCAGGCAGMAACATTTCTCTCTGCAGAGTCAGTTCAGGTACAGGAACAATTCCCATTGGCTGTTTGAGGTGCACCAGAGAAGGGCAAGAAACTTTCTGTCTSAGAAACACAAACCATGCTTTCTGTGGCTATCACTCTTTAAACAGCTTCCTGCCAAAAGAAGTTACCTAAACCTCATMACTATGTTCCAGATTACAGCCATAGCTCAAAGAATTGTTCTGCGTCCATAACAAAAATCAAAGGASCCTTTTCCCAGAGCAGCAACAGACAGGTGAAACCTTGGAGAATTTTCTGAGTAGCTCAGCTGCATGTTGTGCCACCATTCAGGTTTAACCACTTTTGAATAAAACTTCTTCGTTTAGACTTGGCTAGACTGATCAGATGTAAATTTAATCCCCACAGAACGGAATGCTGTGTATAAGGAATTTAAACATWTCTGATCTCAAGAGGACCAGACCCTTGTTAAACCAAAGGGCTTTAGGTGCTCTTAAGTGCAACTACAACCCTCAATCCACAAGCGCCCCAATAAAATTGCATCCAAATAACTGCCTTGCAGAAACCAGGGAAAGGCAAAATAAGGGTAAGAAGTGGTACTGCTGTGTTGTCTCAACATTACACATTGTGCACAGTAAACCAACACACAGAATGAAATCACTCAAAGCTTTTAACAATTCAGACTCATTAATTTTCTTTTCCCTGTGAAAGTCTACATGGGGCAAAGAAATCCATATTGAAATCAATACTAAAATATTAAAATAGCCCTACCATCTTTAATTTGTTTATTCTCTTTCCACCAGCAGAACCCCTCCCATGAGCTCCAAGAGCTCTCTCATGAGATCCAAACAACAAACAGCAAAGATTCTTGGGAGAATATTTTTATGTCTAAATATTTTTTATTATTKCAATTACTGGCATGCACATTTCAGAGATTAATGAAAGGCATAAAGTTCCTCTTTTTACCAGCTTTTCTTTKCAGCCTGAGCTAACTGCAGGAGCTGACGAGAAGTGACAAATGGCTGCAACAGTTTGAATATGTACCAGGCAAGATTTATCAATTTTAAAAGATGCAGGCACTGGAGAGCTGTGACATGCTGGTCTCAGAAGGTTAGTGTGTGCTTTGTGGCTGCAGCTCTGAGTAATGGCAAAACCCTGTGCCAGGCATCRGCCCATCAGGAATTTACAGAAAAGAGATGGGTAAAGCCTAAAACTGTCACATAAAACAGGCATAAAAAGTCACATAAAACTGAAAGGTAGACTGAAATTAAGTCTTGCTGGTTTTATAATGCTAACAACTGTTCTCCAAGAATGAATAACGTTGGAGGGACGATAAGCACAGCAAAGCTGGGTATCATGGCAGGCAGTTTTTCTCCTGCATTTGCAGCCAGCTCACAGGAGAATACAGTTTCAGCCTGCTGAGGGTTTCACTGTGTTTTGCTCATTCTGGTACCCTGGCATGCAATTTGCCAGATTTAAGGCGCAGGGCTCGTGTTCCTGAGATCAGAGTGTTAAAGCTGGTGTGTGCCATCACTGGGATCCCTGACTGCCTTGCTGGGCTGGTCCAGCACCCTTTGGGATGTGGCCACTGCTCATGTTGAGCTTGAGTCCAGGCACACTCCTGCTCTGCCTTGGATTTGGGGTGAGGAGCTTCCTCTCTGCCAGAGAGGAGCAACAGGACCAAGAAGTGGATTCTGCTTCTTGCACACAGCTCTCTGTTGCTGTTGGCTTCCTTACTCCCTCAGTGAAGATTATTTTTCTTCAAACCTGTGGGTTAATTACATGGCCACAGCGCCTAATGTCCCATTTTTCAGCCATAATTTAGAGAGAAGTCTGAAGTGTGACTCGAGACAACCTTCAGGCACCCAGCCTGTGCACYTCTGGAAAGAATCTCAATAACAAGGAGATGAGCAATAAAAATAGACAGTTGACCACTGGCAGCCCCAGACCTATCCAAGACCCACCATCTTTTTTTATTTTTTTAAAACAGCTGGACCAGATAATTATTCATCAGCAAGTGGAGCTTCTGGAAGGTATGGTACAGTCCTTGACACCCYTTACAGTGCTGGTACACAGGTGTCTCCAAAAGACACCCAAGYCTTGCCCCCACTCCCTGAAATCACTGTGAGCCCTCCTGCTGTCCTGGTGTCAGGCTGTTATTTGGTGAGTAYGTCCTAAATTCTCTCCCTCAGACACCTCCTTCTCAATGTTATTAAAGTTTAACTATCTTTCCAATCCATGGACAAATTTATTGCCTTTAAAATAATTAACATACCATGAGAAACAAAGCAAATAGAGAGAGGGAGGTCAGAAGACACAAAGTGAAGAATAAGAGYTTGTAATTACTTCATTTCTTAGAATTTCAAAGTACTGAATAAATATCAAATTCTGCCAGTAAAACACTGTAAAATGTATTTCTCTCACTGAAAAAGGTTTGGGCCTGATTCTCAACTGACCTGCTGGGTCAAAGCTTTGTCACTGAAGTGGGGCAGTCTCARGATGTTACTTTTCACAGGTGAAAAAGTCAAAAAAAACCCCAAACCAAAACTCAGGATCTGGATTCTATTTTGTGATATGTACTGTAGTGAACATCAAATCAAAGTCTGAATTAATTCCTTTAAAATACAGTCCTGGCACTATTATTTCATTATACTCATATATTATTTCATTATTTCTTTATTTCCTTATTTCCTTTTTGTCATTACTTCAAAACATTTTTTTAAACAATCTGTCTTGTAGATTTTTAGAATAGATGCTCATATGTATATATATATATTTTTATATATATATGTATATGCACTAACATTATACAAAGGTAATTACAAACATTAATGTTCTACTTGTTTTGCTTTATTAGCCATACTTGGCACAGAGACCTCCAGCAAATACGAGATAAAAAACCRTTTGGGACAAAGAGTTTACTTTGCAGTGGAAGAGAACGACTGTTTTGACCGCAAGCTGTGCTCACCGCTGAGGTCYTTCACCATCAGGATTGCGGACAGCACGGGCCGGGAGGTGATCCGAGTGATCAGACCCTTGAGGTGCAACAGCTGCTGCTTCCCCTGCTTCCTGCAGGAGGTGAGGGACCCCAAATGCCTTTTGTCCCAGCCGTGCAGCTCCTGCAGGGTGGCTGGGAGGAATTCAGGAATTCACAGCCACCCCTCAGACCAGGCACTGCTCCCTTTGAGTAGATACAACTACTGATAAATGAGTTCTGTTCCCAGTGTGCCTCCTCCCTTTCATGGGACATGGCTTTGCTGACATCCCACACAAAGCTTCTGTGTCTGATGGTGTCTTTCCAGTCAAGTAACACCCCAAAATGCTGCTTGCCCTGACACAGGCAGAGATGACCCACTGTACTTCAGGAGGGTGAAGGATGGGAACACCCTGGAGGTCACTGGGGTGTGTGGGTGTGACTGGGAAGCAGCTGCCTGAGGAGGCTGAGCCTTCGCTCCATGGATCTGCCTCTTCAGGGCCACATCTCTCTGGGAAATTGCAGAATATGGGAGAAAGCTGCTTGGAGTGAAAAATGCAGGTCCCATAGAGCATCAGATCTTTCCTCGGTATTTTTTTACTCTCCTTTATTCCGACATTTATCTTGTGTTATGAAAATGTTTTATAGGTTAGTTCATCCACTTATCTTCTAAACGCTGCATTGGGTTTTTTTTAAAAAAGGTCCTTTGTTAGTACACCTACTTTAAAAAAGCTTAGAGGATACTTGCTGAATACAATAACGATTTCTTCCCCAGTTTATAGCTTTTATAAAGTCTTTTATGTAAGATGTTGGTTTCTGGTGCAGCTTTTGAGCTTCATATTGTCCACTATTTTTAACAACACCATTAGACAGTTCTGCAATAGCCAGTTCCATGTTTGGTAAAATGATATGTTACTATATTCAGTAAATAAATATTTTGTCATTATATGAACAGTACGCTATCAAGGAAAAATATACAAATATAACATCAGCTAAAACCATTTTGTTGTTATTGTTGTTTTCTTTTGTTTGCTAGCTAGAAGTTCAGTCCCCGCCAGGCACAATAGCTGGGTATGTTGTCCAGAACTGGGACCCTTTTCTGCCAAAGTTTACTATACAGAATGAAAGTAAAGAAGATGTACTAAAAATAATYGGTCCATGTGCAACCTGTGGCTGTTTTGATGATGTTGACTTTGAGGTATGTTTCATATAAGTATTAACAATTGAAAAGTTTTACTACTTCGAGTAAATTTCTCAGGTGAGAGGGAGAATGGGAGATGCTTGAAGAAACCCTGAACGAGATTTCTGATGTGAACGAAGTGTTTTGCCTTAGTTAAGAATCATAAAGAAATTTTTAGGAACTCATTAGCCAAATCAGAAGATGGCAGTGGGTATTGTCTGAAGTTTCAGTATACTGAGAGAAGCAAGCAGATAGCTCCTTAATCGAGAACATAGCTGTGCCCTGAGGGGACAGTGGTCTACAGCAGGGTGGCTAGGAGAGTATAGAAAACATGAGACAGGAAAAAARCACAGAGCTCTGAAAGAAGAGCAAAACTGGCATAAACTTTCACAATTGCTTTCCCACACTTTTTGTCAGCTCTAAAGATGCTGATGTTTCCAAACRAGACCCTTTCTTGCGTGCCACTCGTAAAGGGAAATTTGACACTAATAGAACATCTCAGCAATAAGAATAAAAGGAGAACCTGACAACTGTAGCATACTCTGCATGTCAGGACACAGTCATTAATTCTGTGGAGATGTCATCAGTGTGCACTTGATTTGTTTACATTTATGTCTGCTCCCGTTTTTGCTTTGTGCAGGTAAAAGCTCTCAGTGAGATGACAACGATTGGCAAAATTTCCAAGTACTGGTCTGGATTTGTCAACAATGTCTTTACCAACACYGCCAACTTTGGGATCCAGGTCCCTGTAGATCTCGATGTGAGGATCAAGGCAGTATTGATTGGTGCTTGTTTCCTCATTGTAAGTGTGCAGGGTGGAGAGGCAGCCCCTGAGATCTGCAGACCAGGGCCAAAGGGACCCTTGCTGTCAGCTCAGAGCTGCAAAAGTGCAAGTGCAGAGGAAATCCAAACTCAATATCTAAAAGACAAATTAACTGAAAACCTTTCAAATTTTATGTCCTTTTTTTTTAATGTTCTTAAATTTTTGTTTATCAAGCTGTTTAAATAGTATTACATATGCAGTTCAATATTTTATATGGCAGGATCAAACATCAATATACATGTCAAACTTACCAAACTCCCCCAAACCTCTTATGGTGTTCAAACAAGCGTATGAACCCAAAAAAAAAAAAAAAATTATGTTGTTTCTAATGGTAATTTCAAACCAATTCAATAGCTCAGTTGAGTGTTGCATGTAAGACCTTCAGGTCACATGAAAATTCCTACAAAATTTCTCTTGTGAAGATAATTGTAAGAATTTTATGACAAAGACAATGCTCAGTGCTAGGGGTAAAGATGAAGTTAAGATGGATATTTTCTAGAATTAGAAATTGGTATTTGTTGTGTAGCTCTTTTGCCAACGTAATTGTGTTAACATGGTTTCAAAAACATCTGTGGTACTTGCATCAGAGAATATAAAGCAAAATTACAATACTATTTAAATTATTCACTGAAAAGTGTTTGCTTTAAAATTCCAACTACAATTCAGAAATTTTGCTTTTAGTAGGGTAGAAGTGACAGTTAAGATTTTTGGATTGTCCCCTCCAAAACTCCATTTGCTCAGTGGCAGTGATAGAAAGYGATTGACTAATCTAATTGCTTTATTGTGACAAAAGCCTACAAGCAAGACTTTTGATAGTAATTGTTGCATTTTTGTGCCTTCCATATCTAATTCACAGTTTGTTTTTTTGTAGGACTTAATGTTCTTTGAAAMCTCTTTGGATGGATTATAACAAGATGACAGAAACAATGAAATATGCAGAATGTGTTTCAGTAGGTAGAAATGAACATAAATTGATCTTCTTGCTTTGAAGACTTACACATTTCTAATTMTTTTTCATTTTCTTCCAGAAATCGCTTGAGCTTTGGACATGATTTTGAACTGCAAAAATCCTTGTTCCTTATAGGAAAAGACAGGATCTAATGATGATGTTTATTAAAATACGTCTCATGTAAATAATAATTTCCCACTTACATTTTATATGTGCTATAACTAAACACATAGTTTTCACAAAAAGCACAGTTGCTTTGGAACAGTGCTATTCTCTTCTTTCTCTTTTGATGTTCCTGCATGGGAAATCATGAAAGATTAGATGAAGGCTTGCAGCATCGCTGATGAAAGTCTATGTTTAGAGAAGCCTTTGATGTTTTGCAAGTGCTGGTACCAGTTACTAACCACATGAGGGTGTGTTCTGSGGGTTTTGCTTTTTTATAATTTTGGAAGTAATTTTCTGATTTGTTATTTAATTAATAGCAACAAACTGRCATTGAAAGTAACAAATATAAAGACATACCCGATGGGAAGTTCGAGATGTCTGTTTCAGTGAGTTGGAAKAAGGGAAGTTATGTTTGACAGTAAACTGATTTTATGACAAAGATTGTTTTAATGAGTAGCARCCAGAAATTATGCTTCCAGCCCTAGACTTGGGAATGTAAGGTCTGTTCAGAAAATCTGATCTTCCACTATTTCCACTGAAGGCAGGCCGTGGATAAAGTTTGAGAGATGGTCCTTCATGTGCCTGAGGCTCACAAATCATTTCCTCTGTACTATCTGSTGTTAAGGATCCTTGCTGCCACCTACTCAAGGCTTTCCTTGAAAGGTCTGTTCCTCTTTGTAATATCTGGTGGCTGATAATTTTTCATTCAGACTTGCCTGAGGCCACCCTGGAATGGAATTTTTTCCATTGGCAAGCTCACGTATTTTGTATGATGACTGTGCAAAAGGAGCTTTTTGTAGTTCAGCAGTTTCACATACTGTTCATTCCTGCAGTCACACCTCATCACACTGTTCCCAAACAGTCCCACAACAGCTCTTACTAATACAGGCTTCCTTTGTAGGAATGACAAATAGGCAAGACATAAACAGATTTTTTTGCTGTAGTTGCAAAAATATTTGCTGTATGAACTTGCTTGTGCCTCTCARAAACTCCAGTGGCTCCTTCAAGGAGCAAATCAATGCCATAAAATATTGGTGATAAACCCAATTGCTCTCACAGTCACCAGTCAAGTTTCTACGGGGAACATTTTACAAATCATTAGAAATGCTTGATTTTTTTTTTCTTAGTGTCAACCAGTAATTCAATTCTTGCAAACAACCAACACATCAACGGAAAGAGAGGAGATAATGAATAATTCATAAAAATGAAAAAGAGCTAAATTTATCAGGTGATTAATTCTCAACAAATATTTAGACTAATTTTAAATTAATGTTCATGGATATGAATTCAAACACAGTGAAGTCAGGAAGTTGCAACTTACGTTCCCATAGTGAAATTAACTCAGGAATGCTTATAGATTTAAACAGTATGTTTTAGATTATATACCACATTTAGGTATTTATACAGATTTACATATGTCTTGAAAATAATTGTGSTTAACAAGCTCTGACAATCATCATTATCTGTTAACCCTTTCATTCCTGGCTCTCGCTGTGGCTCGTAGCAGTGCAATCAGGCTGCAATTGGGARCTCACGGAACCGCTGCTGCCTCCTTTGCCAGGAAGAAGAATCCTGTGAGCTTCGTGGGCAGGACGCTCCCTCGTGTGGATTTGCAGAGGAATACAGGATGCTTTTTGCTATTCTCGCAATCTCACACTGGTGTCGTTCTGTTAAATTCAGCTCTTGCACTCCTGACTGTAGACTGAGAAAAAGAACCAGAATTTTGATTTTTTTTTTTCTTCTTTAAATCGCTTTGCCATCTCAGTCACTGTTATTGCAGCCCATGTTCTTGGCTCTTGTGCGCTGTTGTTGAGCTGGGTGTGTCTGAACACTCGACTGTGTGCAGTCCCTGCAAGATCAGCAGCATCCCCGCCTATCTCCCGCTTTTCCTCTGCAATTTCCAGTCCTCTTGTGGCCCTTAACAAGCCAAAGACATCTCTGAAGCAAATGTGTCCAACCTCACTGAAATCAACACAAAATAAGGTTTTATTTATGAACAGGGCTGAATTTGTCCACGTCTATACCTTGTAGGTAAGCAATATGTGCATATATTTTTTTATGAATTGCAGCCAGATGATAATACCGAATTTTTCACACTTAGGGGCTTTGTTGCTGTTTTCTGTGTTAATACAAGGGGCTTTCGCTGTTAATGCATATGAGTGTGTTTAAATGCCTGTGTTACACTCAGAGGCAGCTTCTGGGACATCCAGGAACAGGCTCATCCTCTGGAKAAAACAAGCAATGGGACTGGGATAGCTCCTGCTGCTTAGAGCTTCCTCAGCAGCCAGCTTGACCTCTGTCCCACCCTTGAGCATCTTGGTAGAAACTCAGTGCCAATTCCAGCGCTTTTTCAGCTGGGTTGTTCACCTAAATCACCTGAACCACACCTAAATCCATCCTCAGCAGAGTTTATGGAGTTCTGCATGGTGTTGCTGAAGAAGAGCTAATGCGTTCTAACACCTTAATAACCTGCAGCTCTAACTAATAACYCTTCTTTATTAATGGCATTGTGTTTCACGTTATCAGAGCTACATAGGCTCACCCTTCATGGTTCCCCCCAGCCTAGCAGTGGCTCTCCAAAGGAGGATTCTGTGTCTCCCAGAGCCTCACAGGTATTTTCAAAAGCAAGTTCATATCCTGGAGTTCATCTAGTAAGAAATATGATTSCTGTAGTGAAACAGAAATTGTACTTAATCCAAACAAGGAAATATTTTTGATCAGTAGCCAAACTGTAAATCTGTGTGGTTCACACTTCTTGTCTACAGTAGATGGCAGCAATAGCTCATTGTGACAATATTTACCTTTTCACAGATCATAAGCTGTACCGAGAATGCTGGTTAAAGTTCAACATACCTTTAACCTCTAATTAAATTCTACTCTTAATTAAAGGATTATATTTTCTCTGTCTGATATTAAACCTTTGCCACACCATATTTGGTTATCTTTATTGTCTGCAATTTACAGCTGAATTATTGGCTATTTTATGAGATCTGCTCAGAGCATGGGCAGAATATAATCTACCACAAAGTGAACTCCTCTGCTCAGCACCCAACCTGGCTTTTGCTCCTGGAGCATCTCTCCAGCTTCAGTAGGTGGACAAAGGAGAAACCCTGGCCCCAGGAAATCCCCCACCTTCTGTGGAAAACAGAAAGTGCCAGAGAGTGCCATGTGTAAAGGAGATTGCTTTGTGGTGGAGCCCCTAGAAAAGTAGAAGGTTTCAATGGGAAGAAGGTCATGTCATGATGGTCTGTCACTGAGTGCTGTACTGGGGCAGAGGGGTCAAATCCCCTGTRGTGCCACAAACCCAGGTGGCACCGGTCTCTGAGGAGGAACAGGTTTGTCCATGGGAAGATCAGACATTTCTGTAAGAGACTGAAGACACAACGTCTGTGTAAGTTCAGAGAGTCTTTCACTGTCTGATAATGTGGTGGATGCAAAAGGGTGCTTCTCTTCATAGACTTTGCTGTGTGTATTAAAAAAAAAAAAATTGTGTCTATTGGGTTATTTGTTTTAGAATTAGACAAACTTGGAAATTATCCAAAATGCACATTTTCTAATAGAGTTGTCTAAATGGAGCTGTTTGGAACAAAAACCAGCTTCCTTCTCCTGACCCTCATCTTAGTTGCATTGATTTATTTTCAATGAGAATGGYATGTTCTGTGTTAGAATGATAAATACTATTTGAATTCAAAGATCAGCTTTAGGTTTTTAAATGTCCTTTTTTTTCTTGACTTTAAATGGCTCCCTTACGGGGACAAAATCCGCTTCATATCCTTAGAGAAAATAACCCCTTACACTGTAAAGGAGATTTGTGTTTGTTTTGGGGTTGGTTTTTTTTCCTGGAATTCCTGATATTTTTCTAAACTTGATCCCACTTAGGAATAGCTTCCTTCATGCCAAATCATTATTGAAGAGTTCTCTTAGTCCTTGCCAAAAGAAAACCTCTTATCCATGATTTGYCAGCATTTTATGCATCTGGGTGAGCATTGAAGGAGAAATTACCTGCAAGTCAATTCATCAGGACTCATTAGCTTGATGTGCTTTCCCATTTGAAGAYGCTCATTTGAAGGCCTTGTTTTGCTCTGTTCCAGTCACATCAGGTGAGGGCTCTATTTATGTTCCTGATGTTTTGTATTAGAAAAACCCACACACAAGAGCAACAACCAAATCACAAAAAATGCCACAAGCTTCTGTTTCAGACATTGATCTATTGAGGAATGACTGTTTCTATCTAGAAATGACCCTGGGCATTTTCTCTTTTTGTCCCCTCCCTTTTCCCGCAGGTCACAGAAYRACAGAATGGTTTGGGTTTGATGGGACTCTAAAGATCACTGAGTTCCAGCCCCTGCCATGGGCAGGGACAGCCTCCACCAGGTCACGTTGCCCAAAGCCCCAAAGGAAGTATCACAGTGCATGTGTCAAGGTCCAGTGTTGCTTTGTAAGACTTATCTTAGCCATTCATGGATTGATTGCAGAATCWGGGGGGACTTTTGGTCAAGGTTAATGATTGTATTAGTTTTCTATCTACATGWCTTTATTCTAGAYTCTTGAAAAATGATATTTTGYCATCAGGAACAATTTTGAGCAGCTGTCATGATAATGTCCATTTTTACTTACCAGGAYTGAGAAAAATGCAGCCWKGGATGAGAACAAGGATCACCACTAGAAACACCTTGCGTGTTTCACACTTTTCTARAATTCAAGTGAAAGTATGGAGCATTTTTAAAAAAATATCTTCTAGGTTTCCTGAAGAACCCAAAGTGTCAAGATACCATTTTATTTAAAAAATAAAAATCCTATTTACTTTGCAAATCCAGAAAATATATTTAGGCTTTTATGGTATAGGCCCTGAGCAACCTGAATTATTGGAAGGTGTCCCTGCCCATGGTAGGGGGCTGGAACAAGTTGAGCTTTAAGGTCCCTTCCACTCTAAATCATTGTACAATTTGTTTATTGATCTTCTATCTCTAGTTCCAGAAAGCTGTAGACTGAGGCCCAGAACACCTGGATAAAGACCCACACTCTTTAGCCTTTGGCATTGCCCAGGGCTGGGTCAGGCACACTGCACTTGGAAACCTTGAAAATAAGACTGGTTTGGAACGTTATGGTTTGAAATTCAAACAAAATTATATAATATCAGTATTTAAACCAAGATCTGTATGTACAATTGAAACTCCTTAAAGTTTGGAAGAGTTTTGATTAGAAGAATATATKATTTGAAAATATTTTCATTACAGGAAGTTTCCATATGAGACCAGCTTCACTTCAATGCTCTGGAAATGCAAGAGTTGAGATAAAATCAAGTTTAGCAGAAGCCAGGACAACAGGTTATTASTTAAATGAACAATTTAATAAATTAATTATTAGAATAGTTCCCTGTGAGGAAGAGTTTTATCTCTGGCTTTACAGCGTTCAGACTCTCAAAGGTTTGATACAAAATGAAATATAAACTTGCAGAAGAGTGAAATCTCACCAAGAATTAGTGGTGTTCAGTGTATTCCATTCTCCTTGGCACAGTGGATATTGCCCTCGTAAAATCAGAGCAGTCCCACAGGTTGATCACTTTCCTGTCCTAATTGAGCCTACTCATAGATCAAAAATATTTTTTTCCTTTTGTTGCTCTTGAGGATGGGTCATTAATGTCTCTGATCTACGTGGATGCTCACAGAGTGTTGATCATTGTGATACTGAACCAGTGCTTGCACTGTTACAARCACACCATGTGTGGTGCTTCTGTCCTTGCTGCTGAGGAAAAAGGGTTGAAGGGGTGCATTTGCTTTGTGCTTTGCTCAATAACTGCAAACAGTGCATGAGGAGATTATGTGAAAATGTCAGGGCAATAAAGAAAGGATGAAATACTAAATCTAGACAGGACTGTAGAGAGCAACCTTTGTGTAAACAAGGTGTGTCTTTGGCAAATGCTTTMCTCAGCAAGAGCACAGAAACCCCAGCTGATMYGCYGAGATCACCTKTGCCAGCAGGCGTGGCACCTAAACAAAGCACATGCAAGTGATCCAGGAAAACTTCTGWGAGGTGAAACTGTTTGCTCTTWGCTGCAGGGACTGGAACCAGTGGGACCCAGTGTTTTGTTCTGATTTGTGTTTTTCCGACAGATGAATTTACCTCCTCATAGAAGTTTGTGCTTTGCACTTCTATACAACCTGTTGCTGTTATAGAGAGGTGTGGTTATGGCTGGGGCATAAAAAAGATAAAAGCATGACCTGACCACCATTATCATGTAAAACAGTCCCATAAAATGGTTTATCACAATTCTTGTTTTCTTTTGCRCTTCTATCTTGCCAGTTCAGTGTTTGAGCGGTTCCATTGATGACGAGGTTTTAGCTGAGCTGTCAGCACCCTGGGTAAGAGCCTYTACCCTTCAAAAGGGAAGGGATAAATGATTGTGCAGCTTGGGAGGAGTCTGATGAAGACAAATCCTGCAAAGTCAGGGTGACATGAGCTAAGGAAGGAATATGGGAACCAAATTATCAGGGGGTGGAGGAGGACACAAGGAGAATAAAATGTTTCTAAGAGTAAATTAATGTTTTTAATCAGARTATGGTCTTTACAAATATATTCTCAGTGGAAAAGAATGATGGATCTCTGCTACAAAACAAGCACCTGCTTGGTGAACTCATAATTCTTTATCACATTGCTGATCTGTTTAAGCTATAATGTTCTTTTATCTTGTACTTCAAGAATATCACTGATAAGAAATGATTAAAAGAGAAAAAATGTTTAAGAAAATCTGCAGATAAGCAATATGCCTCGTGCAGCATTGATGTGCTTAGCACCATAAATATTTATTACTTCAAGGGTGTGTTAGCCTGCTTGGTGAACCTTTTAACCTAAAACAATTAGAACAATCTGAAAGAGATACTTTTCCTGAAGCAGGTAGATCACTGCAGATGTAGTAAAGAAAAAAAATGGTCTCAGATTTCTCTCTTTTCCCATGATGTCTCAGAAATTAAATTCTGTAAATAGCTTTGTGCAGTGTTTCATTTAAAAAGCAATGTCATCCTAACTACARTCTGGGTTGACATGCTACAGTTTAGAGTTCCAACACTCAGTGAAGCATTAAAACCACAGGGCTCCATTGAAAGCCCGGTAAAACTGTCAGTTGACTCACGTGTAATTGTAGACAGCTCTAGCAGCAAGGATTTTATATTATTAGTTCAGAGAGAATAACTAAAAATGGTGTAAAACATTTGTTCTAAAGCCATAGAAAACCCTGATGATTGGTAATATAGATCTAATTGGGCAGAAATTGCATGTTCTGAAATTCARGGAAAGATCACTGGTCTCTGCTACAACRTAAGAGTTTACAGTACCTGACACWGGTGCCTRGGTMTCAATAGTGAAYRGGGTTTATGTCTGATGTCAATGTTTTMCATTTTCCTTTTCCTGTGTTTTCTCCCCTCCAGCTTCCAAACATCCCCAAATCCCCCAACTGTGTGTGTGAGAAGCAGTGCCTGGTGCCAGGCTTCCTCAATTTTCATTCTTAATTGAGCTGTAAATTCACCTCATAAACTCTTGCAGATCTAGTGGTCCTTCTGCATTTACAACTTTTTAATTTTCTTCTTAATTAACAAAAGCCTCAGTGTTCCCTGTACATTTTTTATCAGATGAGTCTATTATGAAGCACATTAACTTGGATTTCATTGGTTGGGATTGCATCCTCTCCTCAGCCTGGTTCTGAGGTTGCTCTCTTTGTCCTCACATTGATAAAGGCAGTGCCAGTGCACATCACAGCACAGTCAAACCCAGCCTCTCCTTCAGCAGCAGCTCCCGGATGAGCCAAGGGTGCCTAAACAAGAAGGTGAAGTGAAAAGGCATTATTTTTTCAAAATGCTGAATTCAAATGCAGTGCTGGTGTCCAAAAGGTTAAAATATAATAGATAAAAGCAGATGTGTGTCTGGGTGCTGCATTCCTGTGTTTGCTGTGCTCAAAGAGAAGTGTGAGTGCTGATGGATGGGCAAAGGGAGTGGAGGGGACTCCTGCCCTGGAGCCAGAGCTGCACCATGGCCAAGGGCTGCTGCTGCTGCTGCTGCTCG